AGAGTTGGAAAGGTTACTACAAGCAATGTCGACTAAAAGAGAGCAGATCATGTTGGAGTTGAGCTTATCAAGGTGGAAAAACAGTTAATTTTATCGAAATTACTAAAACTAAAGGCAGAAATGAGAGAAGACGTCAGAGGAGATGGTACGTGCGACGAGAACGAGGAAATGCACTTCAGATATTTCCGAATGTCGGCCGGTAGATTAGATGATTTGGTTTGTCGTGAGCAACCATTTATCGTACATCATGCCTGTAGACATTACGCAGAGGCTGGCAATCAACCTTCATATTTTAGCTTCAGGTGGAAGCCAACAGGCTGTAGCAGCTAGATACAAACTTTCGTCAAGCACAGCGTCTTCCATAGTGTCCGAGGTATGTAAATCTTTGTGGAAAGCATTGCAGCCAGAGTTTCTTCCCTGTACTTCAGTCGCCCAATGGGAAAATATTGCTGCTGATTTTTGGAGACTGTGGAACCTTCCGAACTGTGTTGGCAGCGTCGACGGAAAGCATGTCAACATAAAAGCACCACCGCACGCCGGGAGCGACTACAACAACTACAAGGGCGCACACTCCATTGTTCTGGTGGCTATTTGTGACACCAGGTATCGCTTCACCATGGTGGATATGGACGGGAAAGTGATGGTGGTGTCTTCAAGGAGAGCCTTGAATACAAACTGCACCTGTCCCCGCCAGCCAATCTTCCTGGAACAGGAGTCAAAATCCCACATGTGATAGTTGGTGATGCTGCATTTTCCCAAAATAACAACCTCATGTGTACCTTTCCAGGTATGTCACAGACTAAATTTATTTTATGTAATAATACTTTGTAATAATAATACTACTGACAATTAATTCTGTTTTGTTCTGCTACATAGGGATGAACTTGCCCATGGATAAGCAGACCTACAATTACCGTCACTCCAGAGCCAGACGGGTGATTGAGAATGCATTTGGCATTTTGGTTGCAAGGTGGCGAATCCTTGGGCGACCTCTGGAATGTCTGCCAGAAAAATCAGTTGACATTGTAAAAGCTTGTTCTGTTTTACACAGCACCTGTCCTGTCACCATACCTGTTACATCCCTAGCAGATACATCCCTGCTAATTTCACAGACACTGACACTACAGGGTCACCTCAGCAAGGGGAGTGGCGCAGTCAGGGGACACAAATCTTTTGGAGCCACTAGATCTACGTCACCTTTCAAGGGCCTGCTCCACCAGAGCAGCAGTTGGGGTGCGGAATGACCTGATGGCCTTCTTTCAGTCACCCCATGGAATTGTGCCATTGGAGAACAACACATTGTGTCGTGGTCAACTTGATCAGTAAATTGTACTGGTGTAAAATATATGCACCTATAAATGACATGCAACCATGTTAATAAAGACCAGTTTTGACCAGTTGTTGTACAGTGTTGTTATACATAAAAAACTCAGAAAATCAGAAAATATTATAGAACAAAAATATATTTGAATGTTTATCCTGGGAAAAAGTAAAAATTGTAAGGCTTCGTTCATTTTTGACCGGGAGGAGGCTAAGTGTAACCCATTTACGAAGAAGCCCAGAGGATTCATAATATTATTTGCTGGTAGACTTTAGCTGCCAACAAAAAGGCTGAAAGTTTCATATCAGAGTTATGAGGACTGGGCAAACAACAGGACTGCCATCCCACTTCTGCTGTGCCAGCTTTAAGCTCTTTGTGCAGGAGACCCTGAACTGCATTCAGGGGTTTCCCCATACCAGTGTCTTTAAAAGACCCCAATCACACAAAGTTGACATTGCTCTCAAACCTCACTTGTGGTTTTGTTAGCAACCAGAAGGTGGCGCACATGTCATGTTTAGGAGCATGTTACACATAATCTCAGCACTGCAATCTCTTTCTTCAGTTCAGTCAGAAAGGTACGGAAGCGTATTGCATTCACTTGAAGAAAAAAAATCTACTCTGTTTTTCTGAATTAACGAGTTAATTTTTCATGAGAAAAAAAAATTTTGCTCTGTTTTTCTGAATTAATGAGTTAATTTTTCATGAGAAAAAAATTTTTTGCTCTGTTTTTCTGAATTAACGAGTTAATTTTTCATGAGAAAAAAATTTTTGCTCTGTTTTTCTGAATTAATGAGTTAATTTTTAATGGAATTTTTTTTTTTGCTCTGTTTTTCTGAATTAATGAGATTAATTCAGAAAAACAGAGCAAAAATTTTTTTTTCTCATGAAAAATAACTCGTTAATTCAGAAAAACGGAGCAAAAAAAATTTTCTCATGAAAAATTAACTCATTAATTCAGAAAAACAGAGCAAATTTTTTTTCTCATGAAAAATTAACTCGTTAATTCAGAAAAATAGAGTAGATTTTTTTTTCTTCAAGTGAATGAAAGTGTGAGCTTTAGCTTTTGAATTTAAGCATTGGATTTAGTCCCAGATCAAAATGCATGTTTGAGCTGTTTTAACTGAATGCAACATGCAGTGACATATATCTTAAAATATGCCAGTGTCATTGATTTGTCTCAAGATGCACACCTGGCTTAATCTAAGCCTTGTTTGTGAATCCAGGCCTATAGGTACTATCGACAACCCTTCATCTGTGCACACAGGGCTCAGAGGACAGTTTCTACTTGCCATTATTTTCACAAGGAAAAGGATATTGCCATCTTTGTGGGGGAATTTTGTCCCCGTAATGTAGGGTATACCTTGACCACACACAGCAGAATTGAGCAAACAACATTTAATGTGTCACAGAAATCCAAATGTTTTCATAAAACATGTCTATGATCGGTGAACTTAAAATGAAACACAGCAGAGAAAGTTTAACCTTCATCCTTCCCTCGCACTTTGTATCACATCTTCAAAATGACCTAAAGCCCTAAAATTATACTTTTATACTAAGATTTTTAAATTTAACTTTGATCAGATTTTTACATTTTTTTTTCATGCATTTTTTTGGGATATTCAAAAAAATGTATTTACATTTTAATTACTATATAGCCAAAAAATAATAAATGAATAATAATAAGCACATTTCTCACATTCGTTCAACTTAAATTCAAAATAAATCATAATTGCATGTATAACCCTTTTAATTCAGCTCAAAATATCTTACAGTGTCTTTGTGGGAAAAAAAAAAATATAACACTATATTTCATGACTCTCGCCACTAGAATAGCTCTATATGGAGCAAGTTCTGCTGGGTCCTAAAGTCAGTTCATCCTCAGGATGCATTAGATACACATATTAAATATATATTTTTTGGCAAAGTTTTAGCCTTTTTAGTTTGAATTTTGAGCATTTTTGGGGGTTTTCTATGTGTACTGAAGCATTCCTTGCATTCCATTCATTCCTAAGGGGGTCAAATTAATCTGCAAGGAGAGGACTTGTTACTTTTTTTCCAGTTTCAACCACAAAACTCCTCGAACTCCTCCACCTTTTTGTATATTTGTGGTTCAGTTGCGATAAAAGTCTAAAAGGGTCTTGGAATTTTTCCAAGATTTTTTTTTTTTTTTTTTATTGATTTGTAATGAAATGATTCACAAAGAATTATAAATTTTGTTTAAAAAAAAAAAAAGAAATAGAGGAAAAGAAATGTAAAGGAGCAAAGTATATAGTATAGGGAAACGTGTACACACTGTATCTAGGCCATCCAAATAATTGAGCTATAACCATGCGGATACAAACGGTTGTTCACAAGAATTCATTTACAAAGCCAAATTACAAAAAGTGTAACGTATTTTTAAAGATGTGATTTGAGGCAGACCTGGTCTAACCTGTTTGACAAGTTTAGTGAGGCAGTTTAATCAGTGCTAAGTTCCCTCTCATATGAACCTAGCTCTCTCATAGTCTCCTCGTCTCCGCAGGATTTTAGCATTTCCCCCCCCTTCTCATTCTTTTAAGAACATGTTTGATACTTTCTGCCTCCTTTATCTCCCAGTCTCTGTCTGTGTATTTGTGTGTGTGTTTGAGAGAGAGAGAGAGAGGTTGATTCCTTGGTTTCTTTTGAAAAGCAAGGACACAATGGGGTCTTTCTCAGATGGGTTCTGTCTCCATTAAAGACCCTGGGAACACTGCACGGACCCCTCAACCTCCTCTTAAAGGGCCAGACAACTCTCCATGCAAAGCAACCTGAGAGCACAACAACAATCCCATGCGTTTTCCTGGGAAAAAGAAGGAATCAATTATTCATGAAGGGTGCGTGAATCCCACTTATCTTACACTCTCTCTGCGTTCACCCAAACAAACTTCACCCATATTTATCATGTTTCCCAAGCCCCTTATGAGCATTCTGTACTCGCTCACCCGCAGACATAACCATAAGAGCGACATAACAAATGACAAAACAAGAGATTAGACACACAGAGCCACAGTAGTGTGTTTACTTTTATACTCGATGTGATCTTCAAAGATGCTCACATGGATTTGGTTGCGAAGCCATTTTGTGCTTGAGGTTAAAGAATTCAATGTTTCCACAGATTAATATAATTTAACATGATTCAAAACCTTGATGTGCCTTTGTAATTCAGTTTCAAAAATCTGCCAATAATTGTAAAACAGTTTACAATGAAATACAATATTGTAAAGGTGATTCATGATTTTTTTTGAATATTTTCTCTGAATAGACACAAATTAACACAAGTTAAGATGGCGTATTATTAGTCAAGTGTGCATGTCAACTCACCTTTATTTATATAGTGTTTTTTTTACAATACTGACTGTTTCGGATCAAAGTTTCGGGTGCACAGCAGATCTAGATCACTGGGGTAATATTACACTTTTGAGTAATATAAAATAACACATTTGGGATTTACATAGTGAGCTTATTTCGTCATGAGGAGTGTGGACTTTCTTTCAGGCAAACTTCAACTTTAGTCATTATAAAACGACTCTTAGACAGTCTCCGTAAGATTTAAAGTAATGTTTTTCTATATTTAGTGTGTCCGTAGGTTTGGTCGAGTCTAGGTGAAGGGGGTTGTTGTGTATTGGAGCACTGAGAGGGAGGGCGAGATGGAGGAGGAGAAAGACGGACAAAAGTTGAGTGGAGGAATGTGAGTTTGTCTGAAGGGGAATAAAGGCGTCCTGATGGGAGAGAGTTTTGGAGGCAAAGGGAAATTCTGACTCAAAAACGCGTCGTGATTCCAAAAATAACAACTCGGACTGGCTGGAAAACTCTCGAGAGGTTTTTTGGTTTTGGCTTCAATAGCTTACTTCACGTTCAGGATTACTAAACACTTTTTGAGCTTAAAAAAGAAGAAAAAAAAAGTTTACACTGCTTTTGGAAACAGATTTTGATGGCAATTTTGGGGACGACCTGACAGCTTCACTGTTTTGATCCTGAGGATTCGACTTTTCCCTGTTTTTCCTTCTGAAGCTTTTTTGAAGTTGACTAAGGAATCTGCCTGAATCGCTCATCTGTGGGAAGTTGGAGCGCTGGAGCGATGCGATGATGAAGATGATGAAGATGATGCGATCTGAGTCCACCGAGTCCCACACGACACCGAACCCGAACCTGAAGCCGAAACCAGACAGAAGAATGACCGGCTCGAAGCTTTTCACCGTGTTACTCATGCTCGTGTTTCGCGTCGGGTCCGCGGAGCGTGTGTCAGGTAACGTTACAAGACGGATTCAAAACTTTTCCAAGTCAATGCATTTACGTTTCAAAGGTTTCCTGAGCTTCACAATGATGAATATTAGTATTATAGTTAAACAGAGGTCTGAAAAAAGTAATAGTTAGTTTTTAAACATGTTTGAATGTCATTAGAAAACAAGTGTTAAAGATGAAGATAAATATTGTGAGGCTTTTTATATGAACATGTTAAATACACGTCTACATCTGTGGTTACTCTGCAGTGTGAACTTGAGGGGAACTTTTTATAGTCACTAAATGGCCTATGAAAAATGCAAATAATTGCAATTCAGACAAATTAGTACAGTTCTAAGAAAATATGTTGTGACTAAAGTGTCCTAAAACGTTTGGGGGCCCTACAGCATAGATCTCATACATCATCAGTGCATGTCATTGATGTCAGAAACAAATAAACAAGGTGCTTGACACATTATGTTGAACACATTTAAGTACTTTGCTCTATTTATGTCACACCAGTTTTGCTTAGTGTTTAGAAGTTTGTGTGATATTATTATTATTATTTTAATTTTCAAAATGGGTCTGTTTTCATCTGACAGAGCAGAACTATCCTACATGGAAAGAGGGGCCTGAAGTATATCTTGAGACAAGAAAATCCTATAGAGTTGAGTATGGGCTCTTTTGAGTTAGTAAGGTTCGTAAACCACCCCCTAACAACAACAACAACATTGTACGACCTTAGCAACTAGCCATCCTAGCAACAACAACACTGCATCATGTGTGATTTTTGCATCATTTACATTTTCCTCAGGATGTGTAAAAGTTGTTTGTAACACTGATAGTGTGTTTAAGTGTTTACCAGAAACAAACTCAAAGTTGTCTATGAGTGGCCTTTATGTGTGCTGTAGAACTGAGCGAAGAATCTCAGACACTTATCAAACTCTCCCATCACATCTCCCAGACTGTGAAGACGGGCAGCCTAAACACGCAGTGTGGATAATGTGTGGAAGTGGGGACCGGTGAGGGATTTCACAAAGAATGTGACTCGGGGCCATGCTGAATCAGACAGGGGAAATGATGGATTGGGTTGAGGGCAAAAGGGATGGATGAATTGAATGAAATAAAAAGCCACATGAGGAGACAAGTGAAAACATAAAGGAGGAAGAAAAAGTGATTTGTGTTAGACTGACTGGGCCAACAATGGAGAGGGTAGTGGTTGTCTTTGAAAGGTTTTTACTGATAACATTTGACAACACTGGAGGAAGTGCTATAACGAAAAATGCAAGGAAATCTTGCTTATTGCATTGAATTTGTCAACTTTTAGTTGGCAACATAATGTATAGTTGGCCTCAAAACAGATATGTCATGGACTAAAATATACAATTTTCGACAAACTGATCATTGTTATTCATTGCTAAACTGTCATATCAGTTGTCTTTGGAAACTGTCTTGTTGAATAGACAAGAATACAGAAGTTTCTTCTTGATGAATACACAGTTTTTTAGGAAAATATGCAACATCAGGAACGTAAAAAGGATGACTTTATTTAAAAGGAAGCTTCATGCACACAACGAGAGTTGAGGTTAGAGTCGACTGGCCACACTCAGGCCATCACAACAGGAGAGATGTTAGAAAGAGCTAGTGAAGCTAAAAGCCGCTATAGCAATATATAAGAACTAGCTATGACGGGGGTTTAGTGGGCCTCGTTTTAAACATCAACTTGGGACTCACATCTGTGTGTGTGTGTGTGTGTGTGTGTGTGTTCCCCTAAACCTTCGCTGAAAGATGGAACATATTGTTCAGCCCATTCATATTTAAACAGACTCTAGATGCATTGAAGGAATGTTGAACAAACAAAAAAAATCCTTTAACTTAAATGTATAAGTTTTGTGTTTGTGTTGAGTGTGCCAAAGTTTCCCAAAGTCAGTCCTTTTCTCTTGTTGTTGAGAAAGCAGGCCTACACTCTAAAAAATGCTGGGTTATTTTAACCCAATTTTGGGTCAAATATGGACAAACCCAGCTCTTGGGTTAAATTTGTAAATTGCATTTTTTAATCCAACCATTGGGTTTGTCTATATATTTGACCCAAAATTGGGTTAAAACAACCCAGCATTCTTTAGAGTGTACTTAGAAGAGGGATGGTTGTGTTGGTGTTTTGGATGCCATTTCACACTGGGTGAAATAATCGTCATAGGGTCAAAGGTTAAGGGTCAGGGCAGTGTCTGAAAATCCAAAACTTGAGTTATTAACACTTTCCCCCGCCATTTATGGAAATTTCAGTCATTTGTGAGAAAACGCTTCCCCGTGTTTTCACTGTTGTACGGTAGGGGTGCTGATTTTTGCAGCTTTTTGCTGAAAAAGTTGCTTTTTTTTTATGAAACTCATACCCACATTCAAAAGTTGATAAAAAATGAATGCATGAAGCTATAATAAAACTTTTTTTTTTAAGCAGAGGGTCTGTTCTTTCTTTTTTATATTCTGCATGTTCAGATATTCATACAACAAAATATTCTGGGGGCCATGAAAATTTGGTGAAAATCATCAAAAAGTGGTGGCTGGCAACTTTTCCTTTTTTAAATGGAGTTAAGCCAGAAGGAATTCGTAACGAGTTGCATCATCCGAAGCTAAACTACATGGATCTGGCTGGATTACACGCCTCTGGTATCTCTCAGGCTTCGGCTACGAGCTTGTTATCCACTCCATGCTGACAGAAGAATTTAAAACATTCCAGTTCTTCAGGCAGATGGACGTGCGTGGAGCCAGTGGAAAGTGAACCACCGTGGCCAAGCTGATGTTTGACAGAGACCATTTGCAGTCTTTCCGTCTTATTCACATCCTAAAAATCCATGCCAGGGAGGGTTGTGTTTTTGAATGCCTCGCCTACTAAATCAGTTCACAGACATACACTACCCCACTGGCATTGAAAGGGAGGTTAGACTGATAAGTTCATGGGATTCACTTGTCTCTCAGTACAGGAGATTTAGATTTAAAGGGTTAGTTCACCCAAAAATGAAAATTCTGTCAGTATTTACTCACCCTCATGTTGTTCCAACCCCGTAAGACCTTCGTTCATCTTCGGAACACAAATTAAGATATTTAAGATATTAAGATCGCTCCTGCATACAGTCCATAGGCTTCTTGAGGGACTGGCTCTTGCTGTCCTCGAAAAGTCATTAAAGACATCGTTAAAATAGTCCAAGTGACTACAGGGGCTCAATCTTAAGTTTATCAAACGACGAGAACACTTTTGTGCGCAAAAAAACAACAAAAATAACGACTTTATTTCAACTATTAGTTTATTTCTCCCTCTGCGCGAGTCAGGTTACTAGTTTAATAGCGTAAGCTTCAGTTATTGTACGTCACACGCATCACACACACATGACCAGCATCGGCCAATAGTGAGCCTACGTGTGACGTAGCTCTACGCAATCACACTACGTTAACTGACTACAGGCTCATGGAGAAGGAAGTGAATAGTTGAAATAAAGTCGTTATTTTTGTTTGTTTTTTGCGCACAAAAGTGTTCTCGTCGTTTGATAAAGTTAAGATTGAGCCCCTGTAGTCACTTGGACTATTTTAACGATGTCTTTTATGACTTTTCGGGGACAGCAAGAGCCAGTCCCTCAAGAAGCCTATGGACTAGTATGCAGGAGCGATCTTAATATCTTAAATATCTTAATTTGTGTTGCGAAGATGAACGAAGGTCTTACGGGGTTGGAACAACATGAGGGTGAGGAAATACTGACAGAATTTTCATTTTTGGGTGAACTAACCCTTTAAATGGAGGGCCTGAGACACATCTTAGGATAAGAAAAGCATTCACACTTTGAACTCATAGAAATCCCTAATAAGAAGGGTGGTTTTAGCCCATGTCCTGGACTCAGCTTAAAGGCCCGTACACACTGGGACGAATATTAGATAATCGCTCGTTGATTGATAAAAGTATGTCGGAACAGCAGTTTGTTTTGATCGGGGTTGATGCTGGTGATGTTGGTGACGGCAGTGAATCGGTTGATACGGGAGAATCCGAAGTGCGTGGTTTTTCGGCTTTGCGTGATCGCCCCATCGTACACAGTCTGTTGAAGTGATGATCAATGTAATCCTCCAGTTGGTCCAAGTTCGAGATGAAATCCAGGTTTTGAGTTAGATTTAAAGTGGGTGATTTTGTTACGGAAAAAGCGCGAGAGAGAGAAGGAAAAAAAAACTAAAAAGTTTTTTATCTTTTTCTAGCAGCGGCGTGCTGACATGTTGAATTTCCGCACCCAACGCGCACACACACGCACTACGTCAGTACGTCATCACGCCCTTCTGCAGAGATGTGCAGAGCCGGGGTTGCATCAGCGCACATTATTCGTCAGCGTTTTTCAATGCGTTTTTTGTGTTCATACCCAAGCGTTTTTTCGCTGACGATAAGCCGAGTGAACATGCAAATTCATTCCCTGACATTAGATGGTGCTTAATGTAAAACAGAAATAATAATAGAATTGTCGTATTTCCCTGCATATCAAACCACTCAAACGTTACACTCGTCCTCATACATGGGGATTGTGTGAAACAAAGAATACAAAGAGTCGGCAGAGCGGTTATCTATCTCCTCACTTCAAAATCTAACAAAATCAAAATCTAACTGACATACGCACACTATGCGCAGTTCTCATCTCAACTCAGATTTCTATAAAGCGCAAAGTGACCGTTACACATGTCCCATGAAAACAGGACTGTTGGTCACCCTATACTATACTTTTTTACAGAAATACTAATATAAATATTATCATAGCTCTTTAATGCTCCAACATTCGTCGTGCCCATAGGTATCTTGCCTTGTAGGCTATCTCTTCTTCGCCATATGTGTGCTCGTCAAGACCGGTTTTGTGTTTGAGCGCCCCCAAGTTGTGTTCCCTTTCGAAGGGAACTCAACAATACGTCGAATGACGCTATGGGGGAACGCCTCAGGCGTGACAGGTGTCTGAAATCAAATATCAACTCACAGTAATCAGGTTGACCGGCGACAGCCCGTGCATC